GCCGGATCATTTGATTGTCAGTCATCTGACCGAAGGGTTTAGTGCTTCTTGCTGCCTAGTAACAGTAAACAAAATAACACCTTTCTAAATCCGCGAGATCCTTTCTATATAGGAGCTTTTAACCGTCCGTAACTATGTCAAATTGGCAAACAGACCATGCTTGCTGAAACATTATACTCCCTTAAGATTTATGCATGCTGTGTCTCCGAAACACGCATACAAGATCCGAGCGTGGTTATGATTCTCAGAACGCCAAGGTTGAGCTCAGCTCATTCACATTTGTCTCTCCGTGCGTCCGGTGACCCAGAAGTGATGACTCGTGGAATATATGGCGTTGGAGTTGCACTCAGCCCCAGAGATGAACGCGTTTTGCTGGATTGAATCCCAGTGAACGGTCGTCTTTGCGCCGTTCCGTTATCCAGCTCAATCAAGCTCAGTGTGTCACGGAATAAAAGCAGTGCCTGTTTGTAATGTCGGCTTGTGCTCCAACGGACTGCAGTTCTGGTGCTGAGAAAGACAATTTTTGTCGAGAGATATCCGGGCTCATTCGTCGAGTAAGAAGGACTAGCATTGTGATTCTTGCAGGCCATATGAATGCCCAAGTAGGTCGTCTGAGTTCCTTGGAATCACATTTGGGTGGTCGATTAGGAGTCATTACTCGCCGCAAAGACATCGGGGAGCGACCCCTCCAGTTGTGTGTTGATCATGAACTGTTTTTGAAACGTACGTACTTTCAACATAAATGCTTGTATCCTGGCGAACCTGGTGGTTACCAACTGCAAACCCCCCGTGGACGCAGTTGGATCACATAGCCATCAGCCGCCGGTGGAGAGCCACAATTCAAGATTGCCATTCCTTCTGGGGCACACCGCTAGGTTCCGATCACGCTATGGTGCGTGTACGCCAGACGGTTAGCTTCCTTTCAAGCCCTCAGATGTCAGCAAGAAGCATATCAATCCACTATCATAGAAGAACTACCATAGCTCAACAGTATGGATCTGAGCTAGCCCAACAACTATCCACAGTAAACCAATACTGTGGTGGTAGTAAGCATGTGGATGAAGCGTGGCAAAATGTGAAAGGAACCATGTTACTGGTNGTGCTGTCTGTCCAACTTCTCCGATTCGACCACAAGACAACTGGATGTCGTCGAGATCGCTATCCATGACTGATGCCAGGAAAGCCATACCAGCGGGCAACGAGCACAACGGCACACGCAAATCCCTCGAACTGCCAAATAAGAAGAGCCTAAGGAAAGACCGAGGGCTCTAGTGAACGTCGAAAGCCCGGTAGATGGAGATCATTGCTACGGGAGACAACCGTGCGCTTTATCAACCGATACGATCGACTGACCCCGGGAGAGCAACGGTCAGTGAAACGATAAGTGAAAAATATGGTTCAATAAGTCATTCACAATATCTTCGGCTGGAGAGATGGGCCGACCACTTCGAAGAACAGTTTAACTGGCCTCATGCGACCCCCCCTGTGTAGAGAGTGCATACGGGCGAATGGAACGCAAGCCTTGATCGCCCGTCGGAAGAAGAAATAAAGTATAAAATTCCCGTACGAAAACGTGACAAAGCACCAGGACCGAAAGATGTGTATCCAGCCCTATTTAAAGAAGATGCAGAATCCCTGGTGATCAATCTAAAGAAACTAGTTGATCAGATATGGAGTGAAGAGAAAGTGCCCGCAGAATGGGGCATGTCGACAGTTATCCCCAACTTCAAGATGGATACGCAGATGCTGTGTGAAAACCGCCGTGGCATCAGCCTAGTAGTTGTGGCATCGAAGGTGCTCTCTGGTCTTATCCTTCGACGGTTGGCTGAACACAGAGAGAGGCATATCTGCGAAAACCAGGCTGCTTTATGTCCTGCAAGAGGATGGATCGATAATATCTTCACCATTCAACAGATTCTGCAATAGCAACACTGTCTCCAGCAACGAACAATGGTTGTGTTCCTTGATCTGAAAACTGCCTTCTACTTTGTGGACCATCAGGTACTATGGTACTGTCTGTAGAATGAAGGTGCCCCTCACATAATCTTGACCCTCTTTAAGACGCTTTACGCCAACTCCTGCGGGCGTGTGATGGTCCTCGGAAGCTCTCTTCTGAGTTCACCAAGCCAGGTGATGTCAGACAGGGCTGTCCTCTTTCACCTTTCCTCTTCCAGTTCGCCACTGACACGATTAAGGAAAACTTACTATCGACCTCTAATGACTGTGGGTTCTAAGTGCTTCCGGAGCGTCCGCTCACAGACATCGTGTACGCAGATGATATAGCTCCTCTTGGACTCTTGGTAAGGCAAGCGATATCAACTAATCCAAATAATTTTGCCCCACGGTTTGGCATGCGCTTCACACCTGAAAACTGTAAAGTACTACTGCAAGACTAGGTGGGCTCGGAACATGCTTGCTGGATGCTTGTGGATGAGCCGATGGAGGTAGTAGACAAGTTTATCTACCTGGGCAGCTGTATCAGTCTAAGCGGTCTGGCGAAAGATGATATTTCCATGCAGATCGGGAAGGCCATAGCAGCTTTTGAGAACCTGCTTCCCCAGTGGCGTGGGCATGACATCAGCTTAACCATCAGGGGTAGGGTTTGCAATGCTGCGGTGCGCTCCACATTACTATACGGATCAGAAACCTGTCTGCTGCGCGCTGAGGAAGTCAAAAGACTTTCAATGTTTGACCATGGATGTCTTCGGAGCATTGCTCGAATCTGGTTGGAACACTGGATCAGCAATGCTGAAGTAAATCGAATGGTTTTCGGGAGAAATAACTCACTCGCGATAGATGAACTGAGCAAAAGTTGTGCTGGCTCGGTTACGTGCTCCGTATGCAAGTTGACCGAATTCCTCGAAGGGTTCTTTTCGCACAACCACTTGAAGTGTGGAGACGATCTAGGGGAGGTCAAGCAATCAGTTGGCAGCAAAGTATGAAAGCCATTACTAGCAAACTCATCTGCGCCGTCTCCTTGGATGAGGACCTTGAGAGAGGCTTAATCGATGGTTAGAGACATTCTTACACATGGCCCAGTCACGCTCTCAATGGCACTCGTGCATCTGAGCTATTGCCTTCAATGCGTAGCTCCCTTCCCAATTCCCCACTTAACAGTCGACTGACAGTGCTGTATTTACGCACTAATTTGACAGCTCCCGCCCCCAATGCATAGCCACATCCCCCACATCCCCAAATCATTGGTGAACAAAACTGTGGCAGCTATAACCACTGTACGACAAGTACGCAGTTCTTACAGCTGATAATGACAATGATGACGAGTCCTCGTCTGGATGTGATTCTTCACCGTAGGGATATTGAGTGAACTTTTTTTGGATGTGATGGTCTTCTAAATGGCACCTGTCTGAAAACTAATCGGAACCAAAGTGAAATGTCCTGATGGGAAGGAAGTGGAGGATCAACAGCAAAATAGTTGGTTGTCATTCTCAGAACCTCAAGTTAGTCATCATTTCATCATCGTACTGGACCGCGTTCACGTCGCCCGCTACAGTGCAGCGGTGGATCGTAGCTCCTAAGTCTATACAGGCACACCGGGATAGTCTTTTCGTTGTCTCGCTAACCGACTTGTGCTGATATCTGAAGCACTCATTGGTCGTTGGGCTTTCGATTGTTCATAGCTATGGTCCCCGGTGATTAGTGCCAATTTGCGTGGTTTCCTGGACGAGATCAGCTAAGACCCGCGTAAGGGCACATTTTACAGAATGGTGGAAACCACTCTAGGGTATCCAACTCAACTTATGGTGCATTGAGTGAGCCTCCCATCTGCCTCTTCTGGCTACAGATGTCACTCACGTGACACCAGTTTTGTCCAGGAAATTATCCCAAAGTATGTTGACATATGGTCAGACCACAGCACAATGTCCTTCTGCTTCATATCTGTGTCCCAGACTGGTAATTAGTCTTTGTTCGAAGGTCCCAAAGGTCTCCCAAAGGTCATTGGTTTCAAACTCAGTCTCACGGGACTGAAGCGAAGTCTCCTTAATGGGGGTGCAGAGTAGCCATTCTCATAACGACCAATAAAATTGATCTTAAGAAGGAAGTGGAATAATAATTGGAGTATGATACATGGATGGCAAATAAATCAGAAAAGTTGTTGATATCAGCCGCTAACTGCGTCAGTCAGTAATTTTTGGAATGTAGAACATTTTTGGAACTATAAGGGGTACCTAGCGATCCTCCGTCATTTAACATCTGGCTGGAATTATCGCTCAGCGGTCTTCAACCGCAATGTTCATTTCTTAACTATACCATCAATGTTCACTTTTCTCCTACTTAGGGATAAACAGTAAACCAGTATTTCGATCTTGTTGCTGCAGAATGATTTGAGAATATACCCAAGATGATCGGGAAAACGTGTACGAGCGCGGATGTTTTTTTTGAGAAGCACTGCGATTTCCGACACTTCTGGCTGGGAAGAGAAAGGTTTCTAATCACAGGATTGTATATTGAGCTCACTACAGTGAATTTTCAGAGGGAAAGTTTGATTCAGTTCTTAGCCGGGATTCAGAACGCGATCAAAATTCGCGGAACATAGCCCGTCTACACCGAAATAATAAGTTGGAATATAAGTGAAAGATCTTGTGTAGTTTGGATTCTGCGGAACTCACAAGTTTACTCAAAGCGATCATCGTTGTTAAGATTTTTGAGATCTCCATTGGAATTTAGATCGTTCTTGGCCGACAAAATGACGACCACTCTTTTCGCCAAGACCAACTCTTGTGTGAGTTTAGTAGGGCTCATAAAAACAGGAGTGCACGTGGCACAATAAAGTAAGATGTAGCCAAACAGTGAGCACAGAAATATATTGCATTTGAAAAGTCTCGATAAGTCTACAGTGATAAACAGTTTAGGGGGGAGAGGATGCTAAACAACTTGATCACTCACTAGTTCACTTCAGATTACTAGTTCCCTTGAAGAACAATCACAGTGTGATTTTTATTTTCTACCAGAGCTCAATACGCTTACATTTCGAAGCTTACCAAGGTCGCCTAGGTCAAATACCTTCAGATCACCGGGCCTCATTCCTTTTTTCTCCTTGCTGTTTATGTCGGCGTGCGCTGAAGCCACTTCGTCTTGTTCCGCTTTATCCGAGTTTCCGTCCTGTTCATCTTTCTTCTCTTCTGGCGGATCGTAGTCCAAGTACACTGCATTCGACGTCATTCCTCGGAACATACATCGCCAGTGACCCACACTATTCGGGCTGTTCAACTCAATGTCGTAATCAATACGCATATGGCTGTTTGATAGCAGGTTTCTCTCCCAGTTTTTGATTGGTGTTGTGAAATTCGGCAAGCAAGAAGGGGATCCTGTTTGCCAGTCAGAAAAAAATTGTACAAGAGCCGTTTGAAGCCTCCTTGTTGTACAGACATCTACATGCGCCTTAAAGAACTCGTGGGTAATTTGTACCGTAACTACTGAAATAGTGACAAACCAACAAAGTAGTATATACAATTTGTGAGAAAAAATCGCATAGTACGCAGATTTACGGGCGACCTACTGATGAGAATTAGTTTCATCAAAAGGAAGAAAAAGGCCGTTGACAGTGAACTTTAAACATGAAGTTTTTAGATGGCCCTTGACGAGTAAGCAGCTGAAAGGCATGTATATCAATGATCGCTAGGGGGAGCGATGTTTCCTGTTGGTAATGAGCACTTCCACGTGGGACGCAAAAACGCCCGAGCGCTCAGAAGCAAATATCACGAGTCGGCTTATAGACTATGAATTGCGAAAATACAATATTCTATTTAAGTAGTGTTCAAGTTTAACTGCGAGTGGAATATTCTATGGAAACTTCGAAAGCTCCTTACTACTTACAAACCATGAGTAATCCGCTGAGAAGCGTAACACTGGACGAGTCGCACTGGTCCTTCAGCTGAGACACTATTGCTCAAGGGATCAGTCAACATCGAATCATGTGCCACGACCTGAGTTCTTGAAGGATGGTGGCACAAAATGCTGTTCAACCACGTTACTAATAATTCACTTGCTACCGAACTGTACAGTGCTTACTTAATGACAGGGAGATTGGGGAGTGACAATGCTGGTGATTTGTTTCACGGGTTTCAACAGAGAATAAAACGTATATTAAAACTTCAAAACCCTCGCAGCATCCACAACGCACTTACATTTATAGAAACTTTGATCGACTGGATCATTTCCTTCGTGGGGAAAAACTGTACTCTATTGAAGATTCTATCGTGTAAGTGAAGCCAATCTATGTTGGAAAGTCAGGAATCACCGTACAGCTACTTCGTCTGCATTGGGAGTCGTCACTGTGTACATCCAAGGAATCTCCAGGACGATTTGAATTTGTAACCTTCTGGCTAGCATTTCAAACGACAACCAATTCGATCAAGAGCTTCAGTCATCCTTCGATCATTGTATTCTGTTGCCTGTTTAGGTGGTGTAGTTTGATTGCCTGAGCAATTTGTCGCTAGGCATGAGTAACGATAGCTGTGCTGTGGATTCCAGTATCCTACATTCTATTTAGAATTTCCAATGACTAGGTGATACTTTTTTAAGAAGGTGACTCTCACATCCTGAGCATTCCAGTGGGCATTGCAGTTATTCACTGAGCTATGTGTGATAATCGATATGTATGCTGGAATTGGAGCCAGACTGAGAAGTGATCAGCTTGAATATGGATTGTCGTTTGTCAAGATCGGTTAATACACCTGTCATACTACACGATATGTCTGTACGCGAATGCTGGGGGTATGGAGAAAACACGTCCATTGTATCTTGTACACTGTATGTGAAAGGTATCGCACTCGGTGATACAGAGTGAACAAAGGTACACGGTGAGCCTTAGTTGGCGGGTACACTGAAATGAGGTCATTCTTCGCTGTGCGTGTTAGTAAGACATACGGGTGGCGTTTCTTGACCATGTATGGTCCTAGGAACCCACTGTCGGAATTATTCACATGGTGGTAGCGTGATGCTATGAATTACTAGAAGGTATTCCATCAGCAATACTTTCCGATTGATCTTGCTTGAATAAAGCCAGAGCAGTCATAAAATCTGGTACTGTGCTATCAGAACCGATTCATTTATACTCCGAGTACAATCTCTGAGTTATGTGACGAAAATCGATCGATCCAGCAATTCAACGAACGGCCTTCTAGGCCACCTTTCAGCACCCGTTGACGCCGGCTCTAGCTGTTGTAGGGCCCCCTGATTTTATAGCTTGTAAAGAGAGGGTGCCGCAAGCCCAACAATCATACCTGCGTCCTGTTTTCGAGTTTCAGAGATGAAGGTGTTGACAGATTATCTAGAGTATGCATAAGAGCAACCTGTTGACCGATCTGTCTGAGAAATCGCAAGTCAAAAATGGAACAGGAGAAAGAGACCTGGATAGCGGACGCAGGACGGTGGGTGTGAGCTGTAGCGGGTAATGTGTCTGACCTACGTGGTTACAGCTGGGATCTACATAAGATTGCCTGTCAATTGTGATAGGAGAGGAGTTAAGAGATAACGTTGCAGGTGAGCTAGAAATCAAGGGTAAAATTGTGAACCCGAAGAACAGGTGTGCTATTTGCCCGATTTCGGCCACCCCTAAGAACAATGTTGTCCTAACTGAGATACCCGAGCACATCATTTATAAAATTCATACTTACTGTCCTTTATCATTTTATGTCAACAAAGTTTTTTTGGCTTTACGAAATGCGCGTTGTACTTCTACATAAATCATATTTATTCGGATTAGAGTCTGGTATTTAGCTGACAGATGTGTGAAATTCTTTCAAAGTGAAATCAGGAACAGAGGTGATTTCTCGTTTTTGCCAACATATTACAAATTTGCTTGCAAACAGGCAGAAATAACGCGCCTGGTCAGATATGGTCGCGGATACCAGACAAAAGGGGAAGGGACGGAGTCAGCTGTCCAACCAAAGCATGAAAACGAATCATCTCGTGTACACAACCAATTTCAACTGTAACAGCAAATTCCGTTGAATCCGAAGTTGTAGGTTGCCTAAGGGGGATTCCGATATCCTCTGCAATCGATGGCAGCCCGACGGTCCTGACCGGTCCGAGGTATCCTGTGCACAGCATTAAAGGCAAGTGACATAACCCACTTCGCGATTGGACACGAGGACTGATTATTCTAGCAAGCACTCTGGGAAAATGGAATGTGGTCATCGTTTTCGAAACAGTTTGGTGACAATCGGTAAATTTATTGCTGGGCAACGTTTCGCTTTTGACACAAAGTTTCGTCAGGCCAAGTGACTAGGTTCCGAGGTTGGTCGAGATTTAAGGCGGAAGGAGAACCAATCAGCTAAGTCAGGCTAAATCTCTGTTGGGTGTCGGCCGAGGGATTTTAGTGTGTTAGAGTGGTTGAACAAGTGTTGGGGCGGTGGGGAAACCTATATGTGCTTGGGTCCTGCCTAGGGTCTAATTCTTCTGGTTCGGTTCATTTGATGGTTCCTATTGAACTTCGTTTTAACCTTCTGTCCGTCTGTGTGGGTGAGCTAGTGCTAAGGATTGTTGTGAAGAGGGATGCTGTGACCTTTGGTCGATTGGGGCTTCCACCGCCAACCCCCTCCCGGTTTTTTCCAATGATCCTAAGTGGATTGACGAAAAAGTGGGTTAAGAAGTTCAGCGTGCGTTCCACCGCTCTCTAACATGTCGCAAATATGGTCTATTTTGGCGGGGAGCTCTATGTTAGCGGATGTAGACGCAGTATCAGCAGAACACATTTTGAGAACGTCAGTCAGCCTTTAGACCTATAGGATTACTAGCATTGTGTAGTGTATCTTTCAGACGATATCTTCATAATTCTGGGCGGGTCCAGCAGAGTGAAAAGACATTTGACCAAGTGATGGTGTACAAAATCGAGCATCTGAGGAATAGAGCTAGAGAAGAACTATTTTAGGGGCCATATGTGTCCTACCGGTTGTGTGAGTTCACCCAAAATTCTTGGAACCAATGCCCGTCGCAATATTTCAGTAATCGTATTCTGGACACTTCTTTTTTCCGCGACTTGTGCCTTTCCCTTTTCGGTTTCAGTTTCGTCAGACAAGGTTCTGTTCATACTGATAATGTATTTGTGACTGATGAAGCAATAGCGATATGCTTCGTTGAGTGCACCCATGCGTAACTAAAGCTTGTGACGAATGTAATTTTGAGAAACCAACATCCTTGTAGATTTTTACGCACAAATATGCAACCCACAGAACAGAGCATTAGGAAGCATCTTGCAGAGGTAGAACGTGTCTATACAAAAGTTTCATTGAGATGCGGCCAAATCAGAGAACCCTAGACGTGACGTACATAGTTGTTACCTTATGTTTCAGTTCTAGTTTCATCCCTGTCATCAAAATCCATTTGAAACACGAACCGCCCACTTTCATCACCTACTCCCATACATGTCAATTCTGAGTTTTGCGCCCAAAAAGACTCGTTTCACTCTAATTTACAGTTACCAACACACGGGATTAAATCAAACTACACAGGGCACTGTTGCCCCCAACTTGCATGCTTCGTGGAGGTTCAGATATGTTGCCTCACGAATAATCGAATTTCAAGTTCGCCTTCAGCGGAAGTCTCGGTTGGTTATCTATTCCTTGGATCCGTATCCCTAGCGGCCGATAATGCTGTTACATTGTAGAATGTTGGTTCTACCTTAGGTCCTACGTTGTCTTCTATCCCCAAGCCGAGCATCATCGTTTAGTCGCAAGCAAGACATTTGCCCAACAGGATAGGTGAACGAAATCCAAGTTCCAGGAGGGTCCACGGGATGAAGGTTTAAACGGTTCCGATTGCAAAACCACTCCTGTTGTAAACAATGACCTGCAATCCACGTCATATAACGGGTACCTTCTAATGGTGCAGTACAGACAGAGGATTTCAGAATCCAGAACAATGAGGTGAACATAAGCTTGTGTGGCTTTTGAGATTGGTCTGGTCTAGAGGTTTTTTCTCTCGACATAGCTGGTCAATGACATAATCTATTTGGTTTTGTATTCTCAGCTGGCATACATAACTTTTTGACTTCTGCGACCTCATCTTCCCACGCACATGGTTCTTCCATGATTTTCTAGGGGTCTATCGCGTGTTAGCTAAAATAAGCCACCATATATGGAACAAGCATGTTCGCACACTTCGTTCTCTTAATAATTTCCAAGGGATTTCGATCTCTTAAAGATCCGTTTCGATTCAATGGCTTCATGAATGAGTTGGTCACTGGTTACTCATTCAGTAAATCGCCGCTGAATACAACAGCCTTGGAATGGAAACTTTTACATTATATTGTATGTGAGAATTCCACCGGCACCATAAGCTGCACTGTGAATGTTAGGAGCCAACGGAACAGCACATCTCACGCATTTATGGGTATACTGGAACTCATGATGTCTAAGATTGGTAGCTAAGTAGTACGTAATTCAGCTACGTTAACTTTCACATAGTATATGACATCACCCGACTTTTCATCACACAGTTCATGTCATGTGTTCCGGCTGAAGACTTTTGAGCTGGAAGATCCACGCAACTTTTCGCATCATCTGGACCGCCTGTGAAGGATTAACGGTGACGTAACAAGTATGGCTGCCAGGATCTAACCCGGTGATGAGAGTTTCATCACCAAAATGTCCTTTTTTGATTTGCACTCTTGTCAAAAATTTTCAAAAATTACAGTCCCTATCCTACGATACGGTCTAACATACCGTGTAAATTTTATCAGATTTGTAAACTTCTTTGTCAAAGTTTTCGCAGCGGTTATGTTAAAGCACCCTGTAAATGAACCACGGTTTTGCTGCCCTATGTGACGAGCAGTCCCAACCGACAGATTCAGCTGGGTTCCAGGTAAGTCTCTCGAAAAACCAAATTAATTTGCAAATGAGTGTATTTCACTTTTCCGAAATAGTTTTCATGTTTTTCCAGCTGGCAGAAAAAACTTGATGATCAGTGACAAGTTGACTGGGGGTCACGTTGAAGTGGTTCACACCTTTGATCCTCTTCAAACGTTCAAAACCTGGAATGCCTGTGACATCAATCAAATTACGACAAGTAGCACTGTGTGTATTGATTCAAGCTATCCGTCTAGCTTGGAAGAGGTCCCACCCCACGTTTTGTTATGACACCTAGTGCCATGGTTATTGTGACCATACTTTCCGCATACCCATTTGAGTTTAAGGAATGTGTAAAGTAATTGGAATGTTGACAACTGTTGTCGTTTCCTTGTCGTTTTGCTAGACCAAACTGTTCCTTGTGTTGGTTGGTCGGTTAAATCTGATTACCTGTTTCCGGAGGAGCGCATGCCAATCCTGTGAAAATTGTGTCTTAATTGTATGAGAACAAAACCCTGAAAATACTGTGAATAAAATCTACCTTGATGAATCCGATTACCTGTTTCCGAAGGAGCACAAACCGATCCTATGAAAATTGTGTTTTACTTGTATGACAACAAAACCCCGAAAATACTGTGAATAAAATCTACCTTGAAATGGCCCCTAGATGCACTCGGACTGAAGGTGATTCTACACATTTTAAATCGAGTGCAGAGGATGGCTGACCACTGTAATGGCACTTGAGTTTAATTTCTTTTGTTAGCCATTTTAATCCATTTGCTTTGACTTGGTAGCTGCAAGAAAGATACTACTAGCCTGAGGATGGTCACCGATGGGCCTGTGGGAACTGGTGACGAGTTTCAGAGGTGCAGTTATCCACGTGGTTGTCTCACTACCACAGACAAGCAGCTCAAAGTCATAAAGAGATACTTCCTTCAGTATGTGGGCCATTCTCATCCATAATCCATGAACCACCTAAAAGGTGACTGGGAGTTCAAACTATGCACAATATGTACGTTTGTTGGATTGATGATACTCAACTACCGACTTGGAATTTGCAGCGAAGACATCTTGGTGAATCTACTCGCTATCAGTGCGGAGTACACTGTAATTTAAGAAAGTCAAGACGGTGATCGTTTGAGGAAAAAATAACAATAAAAATAGCTATACTAACCTTTGATTATGGGACACGGATGGACACAATTTTCCTGGCAAACACCCGTCACCACAGCTGGACAACTGAGCATGATCAGACTGTCCTTTACATTCAACCCCCGTGCATCACATCGCATTTTTACACGATTTCTTCCTGTGTGACTCAGTGTCAGCTCAATGGAGTCCAGCTGGGTCGCGCCGGAATCTTGTGTATCGCGTTGGGTGAAAGCCGTTCGAAACCACAATAGTATAATTGAGAGGAAGATATGAAAGTAGGGCATCTGGTGTTGTTTGGGTGCTTTTTCTACTGTTTTTCGAGGTGGGCTGGAGTTGCGCAGTTGCGAAAATCTCTGCGGTAGTCTTTTCCGCCGGATCCACTGAATCAGCCGGGCCTTATCTGGAAGGTACACAGAAATGAGATCTTTGCATCTAAAGTTTGGTGAAAAATAGTCCGAACTGTCAGATTTACAGATCAATCGAGGTACACGACCCGTAGGATGGTGTTCTCACGTGCGGGAGACGAACACATTCAAAAGACATGTAACTTGTGTGAGACCGAACTGTGGTTCTTGAAGTAATCCTTCGGGGCTCTGCTGAGTCCAGTTGAGAATGGTTACGTTCACACTATTTCCGTGTTATCTCTTACCAGAAGAACCAGTTAGCCCATGACTTGCGGTGCTCTTTGGAATTTTTTTTTACAAAGTATTGTTTTGGGGCGGTCAGCCTCTTTAATCCCATCCCTATTTCAGAGTACTGGTCACATCGACAGAGTTACGGCAGACTGACTACATGGACCAAGCGATTTGGAATTCACAAATCACCTTAAACTAATGCAACTTGTAAAACACGTGAATCGGTTTTTTTGTGGAACTGGCTAGTTCAAGGCCTTTTCTGATCACTGATTTGTAAAAGGTCATCACTTTCGTGCATCATCAAATTCCGAGTTTTGTCGCGCCCTGACAGGGTGCGCAATCAGCACGTGGTACCTACCTTCTATTTCCGGATAACTTCAGTGTAGTTGACCCCCACTTACTGCTCGGTTGTCTTTTTGTGTCCCAAGTGACAGTGGTACACGAGTAGAGGAATTACTTGAAACCAGATTTCTGAAAAGTGCGTTGGACAATTCCTATTCCCAGTCGGAAAACTGACCAACTCTGTGATTCTTCATAGTGTGTTTGGGTCTTTAATTTAGCTTGTTAGTGCTATGATTTTTTACTCAAAGTTATGTCAGGAGGTCAATAAAACTAACAAAAAAAACAGTTATGTATAATGGCTACCAGAGACACTTTAGTACAATTGCCTAACACAAAAAAGGAAAAATACTTATCGAGTTCTTCGGCCGATAAGTTTTAGTAGATGATACCGAGGTTTGTAGGACAGGACGCAGCTGAATGCCGGTCTTTACCGAGCGTGTTGAAAGCTGGCCTGTTTCTTGTCGTTTAATCCAAAACGATATCGAGCCCAGACTTTCCTGCACAGTGAGTCGTGCGTAGGTGTGAATTGGCTCTGGTCAGGGCGCTTGTGAAGTGACGAGCGTCGGCGTTATCTACTAAAACTTATCAACCAAAGAACTCGATAAGTCTTTTTCCTTTTTTGTGTGTTATGCAACTGTACTAAAGTGTCTCTGGTAGCCACTACACATAACTGTTTATTGTTAGTTTTATTCGTCTTCTGACATAATAGCGCCAACAAATTGGTGAGCCCGACGTAACATCAGTACTACCATGTCAGACACTTCAACACTAGTTATTCCCTCGACTGAAACGGTACTAACACCCAGCATCAATGCCGCCTCCATTCATCTTCCACCCTTATGGCACTACGACCCTCGCATTTGGTTTACGCAGGTACAGGAACAGTTTTCTCTGCGAAAAGTCACTCAGGAACACACTGTGTACTATCATGTGTCAGCTGTACTTCCAGCAGAAATAGCGGCAGATCTGCGTGACATCCTGGTGGCCCCAGAAAGCGTCAAACCTTACACTCAATTACGCAATACGATCATCGCCCGTAATACGCTTACGGAAGGTAAAAGACTCGAACAGCTGATTAGTGGCGAGACGCTAGATGGCTGTACACCATCTCAATTCTTACGTCGCTTCTATAGTATACTGGGCGATAAAAAGATTGACGACGCACTACTCCGCCAACCTGCTCTCAAAAGACTGCCAACTCACGTTCAATCCATTCTCACAGCTAATACTGACAGCGTGCCATTGTCTCAACTTGCGAGTATAGCAGATAAAATACGGAGATTCAGACTGGTTATGACAGCAAGCTCAATGATGGTAAAACGATGTCCTGATTCTACGGACGCCCCAATGCTGCCATGGTTTCCGAACTATTCTTCTAGGCAGAAATTATTCTGTAACCTGTCACAACCTGAGATACTTGTCAGGTGACACGACTGAACGTATGAGTGATACTCATGGAAAAAATTTCAACAGATAATGTGGAAAGCATTCTAGGATGCAAGAGGACAAATAACCAAATCCATTACCTCACTAGAGAGGCAAAAACCCTTCAGGTTACAAAATAAATTATATATATATATATATATGATATAATGTGCATGTCGAGTAAGCAGCAAGACAGACATAAATAAGTTTGTACCATATATCATAAACGAGAGATTCAGTTGAGTTTCTCGTGCAAATGAGTGTATTTCTCGAAAACAGTCCAATTTGAGTTCAAGTAGAACATAAGGTTGACGGAAACTCGGGGACTGTGCCTGCCTGATGAGCCTGAAGTGGAAGGGCGAAACCGGTCGTGGGCTGTCGAAGAGTTTTCAGCAACCTTGTGAGTAGTTTCCTTTATAACTTTGTGCCAGTTTTCAGCCGTCCGACTGAAACAATCCAGATGGATTCGTACATCTGGCGTAAATATCGTTGATGCCCAGGAGATTAGGCGGCGTTATACCGTGACTTTATTTTGAATTTGCCAGTCCCTCCAACAATGTGGAGGTTAGGGACAGCAAAGCATCAATCACTGACGTTTTATGGGAGACCAGACACACATTTTTCAAAATGTTGAAAATTAACCTAATGAAAGTTCCAAAGTGCATTCGTTCGTGGCTATCTTGATTGAAAGCAAGCAAATACAACCTAGCCATGTTGACATAAACAGAGCTCCATATGAAACAAACCCAACTGGTTGGAGGCAAAGTAGTGGGAGTTAACTGGAGCGGTTTAATTTGTTTCCCGCGTCAGTTTGTAAGAGTAAGAGTAACATTCCAACAATTTCCGTATTTACGTTTACTTTATGGGAAACTATACTAACAGAGACGCTTTGATTCCGGACTTGTTGAATTCATTTCTGCTTTGGAAACCCGCATACATGACCCACTGTTTTGTGAGTATGACCTGAATTGCTTGATGTTTCCGTCATTTGGCAACAGCCTTGCGTTTGGTTTTCATTTTTCATGCACTAGCTCAAGTGACCACGCAATCGATCGTCACCACAAACTGTAATGTAGAAATTTAGAGAGCTGAGATAGATGAAAAATTATGCAAGGATTGCACTGGCAGAGAGCTGGACCAAGAAATATGTTTTATCCACAGCTAAAACGATCGAAATCACTGTCCACAAACGTACGGTTTATTTGTATTTATTGGCATGTCGGATTGGAGTCACCATTCGTCATTACTGGTGATTTTTCTGATGAGCTTTGCAACTGATTGGTCAAAGGACAAACCCTCAGATGCGTATAAAAAATTACCACTTCGGACCTAATGAATTCAGGCTAACTTGGTTCATGTAGATGACATCTTCAGGAACTCACATTCAAATGACGAGAGAGAAGTACTGAGTTGAACCAGACAAGAAACCCCTGAATTTTTATGCGCAGAGATTCTGCTGTGCAAAAGCACGCCTGCGCTTCTTAGGAGGCGGGTTATTTGTTTGAGGAGCAGGCAGAGGACCTTACTAAAGACACCTGAACAAGTTTGCCTCCACAATCCTGCAGAGTCTTGCAGAGTCCTTGCAGAGTCTCATACCAGGTTGGTCAATGTCCAAAGGGCCGACCAACATAGTTTTCTGGTTCCACAGATTGGGGGCTGGAACACGTGAGTCTCATAGTTGGTCAATGTCCAAAGGGCCGACCAACATAGTTTTCTGGTTCCACAGATTGGGGGCTGGAACACGTGTGATGACTTGTTTTGCAAGGATGGAGACTCACTTGAATTCCTCGTCAAAGGCCACTTCCTTGCATTTAGGTTTTTGAGCCAGACTATGTGTGAATGCCTTGGAAGTATGCCAGTTTACGCAAAAACGTGAATTGCAGAGACACAAAAATCTTATACCACAACAGCCATCGTGCGGTGTCAGTAGCCGCGTTACCTCACATTCTGCGTAGACAAGGACAGGCAAGTGGAAACGCCACTATTGACGTCTCCGTCCTTTCGCTTCCATCATGCTTCCCCCCTCCCGCACCCCAATGATAACTCTCCCCTTGCAGGCCCGTCAGTTAGGGCTGATGAGTCTGTTTGTCCATTATCGGTTTTGCAAACAACATCTGTGCACTATCCGGCAATAACATCCTCAGATATCTCCAAATGAATCCTAAAGCCTCGACGTCTCGTCTCTCTGGCCGCTTTTAATGTCCACACTCTGAAACAGGCAGAACAACAAGCTGCTCTTGCCCTTATACTGAACTGGCTTGATATCGATATGTTGTGTGTATCAGAAACATGAATTAAAGATGCAAACGCATTGGTTGAGCTAACCGACTCACCACTCATCACTGCCTCCGAATGCCTGTCTCTGGCGTTTCGGAGACTGTTGTAGCAGGATAGTCGCATCTGTGCGGTTCGTCCGGCAACGCGCGTGGAGAAGTCTCCCAATCGGGAAGTTGATCGCTGTCCACTTTTTGTGTTTTCTCACGTTCTAACCAACCGTAGCTTTGACACAATCAAAAATATGTTTTATGATGGCTTAACTGGCATGTTGTGGCGAGCTAGAAGCTCAAGCATCGTCGTGATTGCTGTAGGTTTGAGTCTTCAGGTGGACAGGCTTAGGGCATCTGAAACTGCCTTAGGTGGGGAACATGGATTAGATTTGATACGTACGGACAATGGTGAATGATCACTTCAGCTGAGTGCTGATTGCGGGCAGTGGACAGGCTTAGCGCATCTAAGACTGCGTTAGGTGGGGAACATGGATTGGATTTGATACGTACGGACAATGGTGAACGATCACTTCAGCTGAGTGCTGATTGCGGGCTGTCTTTTCAAGTACGAACTTCTTAAATAGCCGGAGTCGCCTGGTCACATGGTATCCTCCAACGGCGTGCAGGCCAGGAACTCAGATTGGCCGCATCGCCATCAGTTAACGATGTCGCGGATCAGTAGCCGTTTACCACCCGTTTCGGAACACATTCGTGTGGATTTCGACCACGTGCTCATCCGGTGTTGCCTATCCTTCCGGTAGCCAGGGCTACCTAATATGCGAACAAATGGCTCAGCAGATGAGAGATCGGTGGATCCAGATGTTGGACGAATTTTACCAGAAGCGTCTCCTTCAGTCTCTTTCAAATACTCCACCATCAGATGTGAATCAACAGTGGCACGAGATTGCTACCTCTCTGCAGTGTTTTGCTTGTGGCACGGCTCTACCAGGCTCACTCAAGCACTGGATATCAAACCGAACAGTGGCACTGCTCAAATCTCGGAGAAATATCCCAGCCGGTCCCGAACAAAACTTGATTCGACGAATTATCAACCGTCAAGTGAAAGCGAGGGTGCGAACCAGCCGTGAGGTCTGGTGGACACGGAAAGTCAAGAAAATGGAGATCCAGTACTGTCCGAAGAGTATTTCAACTGTTCAGTGCGACAGGCCCCTGAAAATTTCTAGTGGGTGAAACCATCAAGGATCAGAAAGGATTGAGCATCCCGAATAAAGAAGAGCGCCTCGACCGGTGGGCGGAATACCTCAAACAAAAGTTATCGTGGACACCAGCTGACAATAATGTGAAATCTGAAGCTGGCTTAGAACCCTGGATGGTGTAGGTGGAACCCCTACGCTCCCGGAAGTCTATGACTTCATATGTTCTGTCAGGCGCCCTGCTCTGGATGAACTCCCACTCAGATGGTACAAAGTTCGGATGAAGTCCTCAGTCGGAGCTTGTCGGATCGTTTGGCGTGTATTTGGGAAAAGAGACTTTTCCAGGAAACTGACTAACGTCCATTGGCGTACACTTTGCGCTCACAAAGTGTGAGTTCATGTTCGTGGATATCCAGTCACTCAACACGCTGCTTAAAATTAGGGGAGAGGCATTCGAAATTGTAGAGCATTTTACATACTTTGGAAGCTGTATTCGTTCCGATTTTAGTGTGAAAGATCAGTTCAACGTACGAATCTGAAACGCCTGGGTCGCGTTTGCTAATTTGAGACATCTATGGCGTCAAAGTGTTATGTCCATGAATCTCGAGGGACGTATGCATCGAGTTGCAGTATGGGCTGTTTTGTTACACGGCTGTGAGACTTGGTCGGGCAGCAGGACTAAGAAGTATTCGGGAGTCCGACAATCCTTGTCTCACGAGTTCTTGTACGGTTGATTAGTAGACCAACTCATAAATACTCGCAGTTTCTTAGGGGGGAGGGTTATGTTATAGCATGCAACCGTCTGTCCAGTCTCCCCAGCAAAAGTAAAGTGTACGAAGTGATACCCTGGCCGACAATGTTGGTAGCTCATTTGGCGTAAGTGGTAAGGGGCTTGTTCAGCTCATCGGACAATCCAACTACCACTCAGGCGGAATCATATGGAGGGAACTTTGGTGTGAGTGTTGGTCTGGCGTTGATAACGTCACTCGGATATAGACAGATAGCTGGATACCTAGATATCTAGATAGCAGGCTAAAACACAAACCAATGTGGTAAAATGCTTCAAACGCCTAGGACTACACATTTTTAGGTCCACTGAGTTTATGTTCAAGAAAAATTTTCAGTCCACTATGTGCCTTACTGGGGACCACCATGGGAACTTGTGTGTCCAGAAACTTTGGCCTATTGTCAGTTTCTAAACTGATAGCGCTACCGTCTGTGACAACAGCCGTGGCTGGTCAGTAGCCGGATGAATGTTGCGTTTTTATTTGACTACCTTCTAGTTGTTTGCACCGCCTGACTATGAGACAGTGTTTAGTCTAGAAACCTCAACCCCAAAATAGATAGGATTGTGTTCCCTCGTCTCCATGATTGTATGTTTTTCCTCTTGAAACGGATGTTCTTAAAAATGCTTGGTGTGAAATGATCTGGTCATATAAATGGGACTTCTATGAGACAGTAGAGGCTAAAGTAGATTGCCAAGTAGCCTGAGAATAGATCAAAATTTGTGGATCGATCATCACTATAAAAAACTAAGTTTGTGGTCTCTAGTATCGACCGGAGACAGTTCAAATAATGAGTCTATATTCTAGCTGTGCATCACGACCGGGTTTTAGTCTTCTGAGTATACCGTAAGAAGAACTCTAATCGTGCAATGTGCGGACGTTAGCAAAGGTGCTTTATATCCTCAAGCACACTCGAATAGGGCCTTCCAGAACACAAAAAAGTAGTATATTGGTTTTGAGCTAGAAAGTTCACGTTTTTCGATAGGTCAAGTTTGTTTCAAAAAAGGCCTCTTTTGTTGACTGATGCCACCACAGAACAGGGAAAGTAGTAAGTTTCCACACGAGGCTAATATTCTCGGGATATTCTCGGAATAAGCCAACTTTGGACAGTCCAGATGCACCAGCCAATGGAATCGCCCAACCGAACAACCAATCGAAGGGCGGCCCCGGCTAGCAGCACGCATATTAACACACACGCAACACTACTCAACACACAACCACCTACTCAGCGCAACGTTCCACTATGCGCCCTGACGACGCGCTGATGATGTCAGCTCGATTGGTGACGAGACGTTTGCAATCAATTGCCAACTCAGCGTACAAACCAGTGACCATTCCAGAGAGATATACGTATACACTTTGAGAATAGAACTGTAGTGACTGGCTAGCAGACTTTCTCTTTTCTGATCTCATGCATCTAGACTAGCTTGCATCAAACATTTCCTAGACGGGGACTAGGTCCTCCACTATGCAGCTGTCGATCAGGATTCTTGTATACGTCTCTATAAACAGCGCAGAAAGATCGTGAAGTAAAAATTACCCTTGTTTGGCGACATGATAAAATGAGCAGGATTCTCGTAGCCGCTAGTTACCTTCCGGCGCGACACTTAGACTTTTTGCCCCTTGTCTATCACTTCAGATTTGCAGAATCCCTTGAAGGGATAGCACCGCAGTTTACAGCATCAAAACATCTGATATGCCTAGTATGTTACCATGGTGAGCGTAATAGACTGGTCCATTTAAACAACACTTAGTTCAATGGTGGATAGGAAAACCGAATGTCAAGACCTAGAGGCTGAATAGGCCATTCTGTGTTGATTAAGCAAAGGTTTCAGTATTTTTCACTTCTAAAATGTTTGGATAATAAGTCTGGATATGATTCTTGCTGAAATCGCTGAAATCCTCGAGCAGTAGTATATTTTGATTAACCATTTCCATCAGCCTACGGACCTTAGCTGTGTAGATTCAACGGCCTTCCTTTAATGGTACATTAAATATGTGCGCAAGAATGAATATAGCTCGGGTTTCTAGTATTCCCGCGACCAAGCATAACTAGTGAGCACATTTTGTCTTTGCGTCTCCAAAAGCAGGTTCCTTTGAGTGTTAGGCTTATCAGTATTCGAAAAGAATGATATCCGTATATCTTGTATCAGCTGCTGGCGTGCAATCTGGCCCTTTACTTGCAGGAAGTTTTCGAACACCATTACTACGGAAGCAAACCTTAGGTCGAATGGTGAGACGTGAACACATGGAACACCGACGCGACGCCGAACTCATAAATGCGGGAAATGAAACAGTTTCAAAACCACGATCATTTCAATGTGCTGCTGAGTCAGCATATAATCAAGCCAAATAAATGAATAACAATGACAAATAATTAAATTAATTAAAGTATAAATCGAATTAAATCCTTACAATAATTGAACCTACCAGAAAGAGAAAAAATCGACATAATGAAGATGTTTATGGATATAGTCAACGTTTTTGTGAAATTATCGTATTGATTTGAGCAATGTTCATCCACTTATGTAACTATTGTTGTACGGAACACTGAGGTAGTTTGTTAGCAAATGAGGATGGGTCAGTATGGCCTAATGGTGCCCGCAACTAATTGAATTATGTTTTGTTCTGTATTTTAAGTTAAACCTTTTATGTATTTACTTACCACAGAAGTCGTGGGACCGTGGTCCATGAGCGGATGAAACGAGCGAATTATATAACAGTGTATAGGCTTTGGGGTATCAGTTATAACCTTGATTTCATTCTCTCATAAGTAGTATCCGTACGTGTAATGTTCTTTCCATATCCCCAAAGGTTTGATAAAACACGAGAAAACAACTTTCATCGAGCGACTATAAAATGACTGGCGGTCTTGTAATGCGCGAAGGCTTACAGTCGAGTGAGAATCTCATTGGTTGCTGGCATCGATAAGCTCACGTGACCAGAGTGAGATTCACCCGATGACTGTGAGAGCGCTACTGCACGTAGTTTGTGTTCTGTGGTATGCGGCGCGGTATTTGTGAATACTGCATATGTGGGAACGCCAGACACGTAAAATATCCGCAGCAAACTTCTTTGGATGTGGAGTGAATACATGTGTCAGTGACAGACGGAAATTCATCTGTTAGTCTTTGGCTTGATAAGTAGACGCAGGTTTGATGAACTCTGTTGGAATATCGATCGCACGAAAACGAATGCACCAGAAGTTATAAGCATCATCACATTGGAGAGATAACAGTCACATGAACAAGTATCTAGGGACATGAAATTTCAAGTAGGCATTTTATGTGGATTGCTGAAGCTTGAAAACCATAGCGGAAGGTTAATGGACTAACCACTCTGTTATTGGTCTATGCTTTTTTCACGTTCTTTCACTCTGTGTGGACCGCTAATTCCAGATTTTTTCAGTAAGATGTAAAACGCTAAAACGAGCACATTACTGTCTGCAAAATCAAAAGGCACGACTGACCTTTCGAATGAGTAGATACTTTCTTTCAGACTTCCGGCAATAAAATTTTCTCGATGTTTCTTTGGCTTTATTCACGGTTTGTTAAGGCTATATTTTAAGGGTAGAAGACCAGTCCATACTACAGGTGTGTTTTGAATCAATCATACGGAGAAAAGCAATGTACAGAATGTGTGCATTTTAGTTTTGACCTTCGAATCCTCTACAGAGCTTCTGTAGGACATAATGACCACTTTTCAGCTCGGATCAGCGTACCGCTTTCACAACATATATTGGTTAGCGTTTTGCCCCACAGCTGTACTTTTATCCTTTTATCTTTCTTTGTTGGTTATCATCAACAATGCGCTGTTTGCTGTTCTCCCAACCCTCAAGGTTCTCTTTGTGGAATTGAACTCGTGGCTTTCAGGTAGGTAGTCGGGCACCGTACTATTTAGTCAAATGTGGCTGATTACCAGGGCTACTACCTGGCTCTTAGAAAGATAGTAAGTGATTGAAAGATTGGCGAAACCCCATCCTGTCTACTTCCAATTTAATCCCGCGTCAATCAATCAGTCAGGACTAAATGACATGGTTCGACTCTCATTAGCGATTCACGATACAAAAATTGATAATGGTTCCCAAGAACAATTCAGGCCTATTCGGTGATCTGTGTCAACTCGTGTTGATTGTGCTTGTGAAATCTAGTAATAAAGTAATAATCGTTCAGCTGTGACACCTTTTAGTTGTCTAGCTGTCATGCAACCCGAAGAAAACACGAGGGCTGGAATATTGCCAGGTTGCCCAAGCCTAGACAGAGGAAGTCAAGAGGTAGAGGTCGGATTCGAATCACGGACCTTCCAATCCAATCATTCGCACTCCAACCACTGAGCCACCTCGTCCACAAGAAATCTAGTGAATTAACTCAAATAGTGGATCCAATGAGTCAAACCGTTCACCGGCGCCTTAGCAAGTGGACCCTACCAGTCAGTTTTGTTTGCTTCCTATTGGTGCTGTGTGCACCCAAAGTTGTCCGTTGGCCTTACAAGATGTCTCTGTCATGAATGGATTCCGCACTTAAGACACTGTAACCGGAAGTATACGTCACAACCAGTATGGGCGCTGCAGTGCTCCTGGTACCAGTAACTCGCGCGCCACGTTATCAGTTCAATCTCACAAGCTTACCAAATAGTTAACAGGTGAGAAAAATTCGCACCACGGTGGTTCTACGTACAGCGGTTTCAAAACGTTTGGAATAGTATAGCGCTGAGGACTGTTTCCAGTACTTTTATTCTCATTTCCAACCTTGAAAAGGCCAAGCAACAAGGGCAAAATAACTTGGCAGCTACAGAGTCACACTGATGCTACAGGGACAGGATTTAAGGGGGCAAGGGAAAAGAGCGATTACCAATCGGCAGTGGAAACATCAAGCCAACTAAATTAGTTTGCAAATGAGTGTATTTCGCTGATCAAGTCACATGGGCGAATAGGGTGCCTCAGTGATTTATCACAGAAACCGAGAACGATTACGGTCATTTAGATGATTACACAAACGCAGTCAGGGGTACAGAAGATTTTTCTGTTTGGGCACACCATGAATAGGGCAATTTAACGCAAGGGTGGATATTGTATTCGGCTGCCACATAGTTCTTTCTACGGAGATGACAAAAGTAACTGAGAAAGCACTCTATGCCCACTGTAGATCACGTGACAAATGTGAACCCCCGGTCCCTATTGATCATATCCTCATCTTCGCTTTCGATGTTCAGTTCACATCACTGTGCTTACGCCCGTAAGCATTTGCTTTTAATGGAAGTTTGTGAATGGTCCTGGTCTATAGTGGGTGGCTTCTTCGAATATAGTTATTTAGAAATTGGTCAGCATTACATTCCTAGGGTATTCTCATGTCGATTCATGATGGTGTGAGGAGATTCGGTAATATTCAATAGAGGTTCCATTCTGTCCGTGAAGCCAATCAATTTTGAAAATTCGAGAAACACTGTGAAGCTGTTTCATCCTTGTTGGGAATCAGCAGTAGTGCGATCTCACGAAACTCAAGGAGATTCCAACTCAACATTTCGTCCAGGGATTGAACACTGAACCGTTTGGTCATGAGTGGCTGATCGATCGTGTGATTACCTCTCCACCTGGCGATGACATAGCGCCACTCATCCTTCAGTAACGGAAACTACAACATGTAGACAATTATTGATTGGCTACTCCACGAGGGACCGGGGTTCACCATCACGTGTTTATCCACTCTACAAAACAGTACGATTTCCGGAAAACTACTCATGAGTTCAGCTGTGAATGGTTTGCTGACCACAAGTAAACATTTATCTACCAAAATGAATGTATTTTTTCAAACTTGTACGGACTGGACTGAAGATGGTTGGCATATAAACTTATCCGGATGCAATGGGGTACTTCGTCACAGATATTTTTGGCTCGAGTTGTAATTCGACAAAGGATTTTCAATTGCTCTGGGGTGCGTATTAAATAGTTGTTTATCGTGAAATAATTCTTGAAGCGCTACCGATTGCAGACCGACTACACTTCAAAGATCTGCGGAAAATTCTTTGGATCAAATGGAATGAAGCAATCCGATCAATGAAGTCCATTGAATGGCATAAACGTCGATCATTGCTGACTAAAATATTCGCTTTGGATACTCTAGTGATGTACATACAACCCAGCGAAATTTACACACAAAATATTGCTGTTGTTGTAATTTCCCGAATCATTTGTGTAGTATTTCGTCAGAATTCAGTCATCTGACAAACATTTGGATAACAGCGCTCACACCAGATAGAAGTGCTTTTTATCACGTGACGTATCATTGAGGCTGGAACCATTTAGGATTGGAAGCCACTCAGGATAGTTTGTGTTGTCCAGAGGCTCATGACTACTTTTCGATTCAGCAAAAGTAGAAAATTCACGTTTATTATTCAGCGATAAATCCACTCCTTTGGGTAGAGAACTGCACAGCCATGTGCTACTAAAAATAATAACCGCTTAGCTGTAGTGTATATTCGGTTCCGGAGGTACCACGCGGGTTGGGGTTCAGTCAAGACCCGAAGCCTGGGTAGATTCAGTTCTGATACACAGGCTGGGCTCAGACCACCGGACTATTGGTCATTAGAGGCACACGTCTACCACTACCCTCTCCAGCCTAATATTACTCGCGGTCCATAGTACACGATAATGGAAATTGCCGGCGTTGTAAGTATACCTCTAATTTTTTATCGCTATCTACGGTACGGGGAGCTCCGATAGAAGGGGCATGACAGCAAACCGTATCACATACCAACCCACACAGAAGTGTGTGTCTATGAACTGAAATTAAAACCTTCGTGACCTGGCCCAGGCAAACTGAAGTACCCGGCGGACTTTGTTTGTTACTCACTTTTTCGCTACTACCTATTACAAACTCAGTAGCTCAACAAGCTATCAAGTTACGAAGCTTGTAGTAACATAGTCTTCAGTGCGAAGGCCTAGTTATAAGAGCTTGTTTGGGCGAATGAATATCAGCTTATTGAGCTCTTTAAAAAGGGGGTTATCGTTAAATACGCATACTTGTTGCTGCTAGGTACTGAAGAGAAGTCGATTTCTGCACCACTGATAACCCGGGAAGATTCTCGTACTCTTTCACAATCTGTCTGTTGGGCTCAAGTGACAATGAGAAACTGGACTGTGGAATTGCCTTAGATGGACAGTGATCCCACAAAATGAGTGAAACCTCCTTCTGGGAAGTGATCACTCGGCGAGAATAGAAAAGTTCCCAGGTGATGCGGTTGGCATGATTGAAGGATGAGTGGCGCTAAATGAGAGATAATCACACTGCTGATCAGTCGCTCACGGCCAGAAGGCTATTTGTTCAGCAGTTGACTGGGAGGCCGCGGAATCAAAACTCCGAGCTTTGTGAAATGCGCACCGCTAACGATTCCCAAGAAGGATATAGCAGCTGTACGGTGCTTCTCAAAGCTTCAACATAGATTGACTCCACGGACAGGGTGAAATATCTATTGATAATTGTGAAAATGTTCAAAGGTTTGGCTTGATTCTTCCAAGATTAGATTTTTTGCAACGATTTCATCATGCGTGAGTAGCTTCCACATTGTGCTACATCATTTCGTCCATTAACGAATGTAAAACTATTTTTAAAAGCCATTAATGCCTTTGGTTGCAGATTCTGACTAGACAAGTTAAAATCTATCCAGGGTACACACTCACTTGCAAACTAATTTGGTTTTTCGACAGACTTACCTGGAATCCAGCTAAATCTCTGGGTTTTAATGTTTCCAGGCCGCCTCATGTTTCGATCGCTACGATATTCGAGATATCGCGACACATATATTTTTGCAAATGAGTGCAATTTTGTG